AGCTGGACCTGGGGGTGCGTGGGGACCCGGGCTTTGAAAACGTCAAGTTGTCGATTAATCTCCTCGGCATTCAGACACTTTGCATCTTAGTCTTGGTGGGAGTCCCAAAATTCTTCATTAGTATGGTTAGGGGGGTCCCTGATCCTGCATTAGAGAAGTAGGTAGCCTGGGTTCCCCCCACACACAGGGGTAAAGATTGAGGGGGCCCGCCCCGTGATGTCATCCCCCCCCCCATACACACACCCTGTCTCCTTCCTCCACACACACACCCCTACCCCCAAGCTAGTTGCATTTAGCTCACAGGGTTTGGGCTCGGACTTGCAGGAGTTTAGGAAGCAGCGAGCACGGTGGGCCTGGAGGGTTGCCTGCGGCCAACGGCCACCCCTATGCCTAGGAGCTCTGGGCTGGGGTGAAGCTGGAGGTCTAAGCAATTCCACCCCTTTGCTCTCTCCTCAGCCCTGGAGGGTGGTGAGTAGTTTACACCCTCCCTAACCTCTCCTTGTTTAGCGTCCCAGACTCTTAAGCGATTGAGAAGAACCCCGGGAGTTCTCCAGTCCCTTAGCCGAAGACCTCAGTGTCCAAAAGACCGCAAAAGGAACGTGCATCCGCATCACCCTATCAGTTTCCCAATGCCAGCCTCTCGGCAATCCTTCAGGATCAGAATTCAAATCCCATTGGCAGCCCAGGCATGCCAGGATGAGAGGGTGGGTGGAACAATTCCCATGCCTGTCTCAGGCGAGTAGCAAGTGGATACCAGGATGTGAGATGTCTGTAGGCAAGGCAAGCCTGCTTACTCCATGTAGGGCCATGGGATTTGGACGAGCTGTATTCGGCTTTCCCCAGCAACTCCATCTCGGCATGAAGCCAAGACTTCAAATCTTGACAGGGTGATTGGATAACTCTTAATTCCTTATCCAAAACTCTTTTAAATGTCTGTTCCCTTTCTTCCTTGGAGGTTGCATTTAGCTCACAGGGTTTGGGCTCCGACTTGCAGTTTAGGGAGCAACAAGCACTGGCGGGAAGGGGGGCCGGGGTGCCTAGGACCTGTGTCTAGGACCCCTGGGCTGAGATGAAGTTGGTCTAAGCAATTTGACCCCTTTGCTCTCCTCAGCCCTGGAGGGTGGTGAGCAGTAGTCCTGAGACCCTAAGATGACTCATTGCCTCCTCTTCCTTCCTCTCCTCGTTTCATTAACACTGCCCTGTCCGATTCGGCTGGGGGGTTGGTACTGAGTCCCAACTGCAGATGAGGGGAGTTGCTTTTTAGTTGGAACAGGTCTTTTTTTTTTTTTTTTCAAAAGAAATGGAGGGACAGAATCCTCAAGATCCTCATGGTTTCTGCTCTGTTCTCTTCCAGGTTTACCGACCCCCGCCAGATAGTGATGGGTGGATGAGAGACGCTGACTCCAGCCTCCCACTCTGTGACTATCTCCCCGTCTGACATGGAGAAAGCCTTGCTGCCTCTGACTATAACATCTGACCCAAGGCCCTTTAACCAACAACTCCCAGAGCCTCCGGACCTGAGATGTGTCTTGGAACCCCAGGACAGCCTTGAGTTGGCCCCTGCCCTGGTGTGTGCTCTCTGCTGCTGCTTCGGAATTATCTACGGCTGCTTCGGTGAGGGCGGGGCCTGGGGGCGGGGCCTGGGGGTTGGAGGCAGGGGTCTGGGGGCGGGGCCTGGGGCGGGGGGGGGGGGCAGCTGCCTGAGACTGCTGTCCTCAAGAGTGATTCCAACTTCTTCCTTGTTCCTGTACACTTCACCTCCTCTGTCCGGAGATGCATGCCCTCGGGGTTTTCCATACGGCCTCTGCCGGCTTCCTGTCCTTCTGCTTGCTCGTGCCCTCTGGCTTTTGCCTCTGGCCCTGTTATCTGCCTTTATTTGTCTCCTACCTCAAAATTCCATTCCCAGATATCCTCCCCACCAGAGAGTTCAACTTTCCTCAGAATCTGAATCGGTCTGTGGTGATTTCCTATGTACCATGTCTGGAGGAGGAGCTAGACATTGTCCTGTTTTCTCTCCACAACGCATTCACTCTACCTCCTGATTTCTCCACCAACCCCTTCAGAGTCTCTGAATGTTCTGTTTTGTTTTGTTTTGTTTTGTTTTCAAGACAGGGTTTCTCTGTGTAGTTTTGGAGCCTGTCCTGGATCTTGCTCTGTAGACCAGGCTGGCCTCGAACTCACAGAGATCCGCCTGGCTCTGCCTCCCGAGTGCTGACTCACCACCCAGCCTTGAATGTTCTTTGTCTATCACTGGGCTTATCCTTTTCTTCCCCTTGCCTGGAGGTCCCCATGGTATGCTCCTCCTGGCTTCTACTCCTTTGGTTAGCTGTTCCTTTCCCAAGACACCAGAACCATCCCTGTAGGACCCCCTTTCTGTCTCTCAATGCCTCCTGCCTCCCTTCCCAGGCTACCGCTGCTTCAAGGCAGTGATGTTTCTCTCCGGTCTGCTGTCAGGAGCTCTGGTGATCTTCCTACTGTGCCACAAGGAGCGGGTGCTGGAGACACAGTTGAGCCTGGAGGTGAGCGCAGGCATCTCGCTGGGCATCGGACTCCTCTGTGGTCTGGTCACCATGCTGGTTCGAAGCGTTGGGCTCTTTCTGACTGGTCTCCTGCTAGGTCTAACCCTGGGCGCCGGAACCTTATTGGGCACTGAACCCATCTACCAGCCACATTCGGCCTGGGTGCCAGTCGGTGGACTGATGGGGCTGGCGCTGCTGGGAGCCCTGCTCACACTTCGGTGGCCTCGTCCATTCACAGTCCTAGGCACAGCCTTGCTAGGTGCTGCGGTGCTGGTGGCCTGTGCTGACTACTTCTTGGAAGGGCTGGCACTGGGCACTCGGCTGGGTGAACGCCTGCAGGCCCTCCCGGAGTTGCTGCCTCTTTGCTGGTATAGCTGGGTCTTACTGGGGACCTGGCCGATCTTGGGGGCTCTTGGGACACTGGCCCAGTGGAGACTCATGACCGAGGAACGTGGAAGCCACACCAATGGTGAGTTACTGCTGTGGTACAAAAGCAGCCAACCTGCCCTAATACTACCCCAGATTCCTACACTTGAGGGGAAGGGAGAAGATTGAGAGGTGAGGACTGGGGAGGACTCCATGTCAAATAGAGCGGGCCCTGAAGCAGAGTTAAAGCTGGAATAGCCAGAGGAAGTCTGGAAAGAATAAGAAGGAAAAAATGCCAAGAGATACAGGGGAGAGTTTTTTACGACTGTTATGAGAGGGTAGAGGAATCCCAGAGGAGGAAAATACAGAAGAAATCTAATAACTGAAGGGAAGTTGGGGCTTGAGAAGTCCACAACAGGAAGGCCAAGTGGGTTTCTATGGAATTTGATTCTCTTTGGAGTTGGTGTTCGGGACCTTAAAAAGCTCCCCTTGACTCTGTATTGCCTGCTCCCCAGCAGTGATCTTGAGCCACCAGCGAAGACATCTCCAGCTCCTCCGGATCCATCAGCAGGAGGCTAAGCGGCATCGGAACCCGTCTGGAGTGGGACTGTGCGAAGGCAGCTACCGGAGCCGGCTTCCCCCCAATATCCAGAGCCCTGGTGACAGGCTGGCTCCAGTGAGTGGGAGAGTGGGGCACCCTGGGGAGGATGGGTCAGAGCGAACAGTGATGGCCAGGATGAGCTGAGGACTCTGACTCAGAGCCCCCTTCTGCCCTCTCTGCCCTGTGTCCACTCAGAGTTATCTCCAGAGTCTCCGTGAGTGCCAGCTGGAACCAAGCACCCAGGCCACCGCCCCCCACACTACCCTGGACCTGGATTCTGACTGCATTTCCACCCGTCTCCTGACCACACCTTCTCACTCTGCCCAGACCTGAGCCTAAACCTCCAGAGATACTGACAACCCTAGTGAGGGCAAGAGACTGCTAGGTGGATAGGGCCTGAGCCCACAGGACCCACACACATTTCCCTACCTCTTGGATTGGGGATGGGCTCAGTGCTCAGATCAACCCTTTTAGAGACAGGCAGAGAGAATTCTTACAGATGCAGGAGAGTGAAAGCACAGGCACCTACCTCTGTCCAGGAGTAGAGACGCCCTGGTCCCTAGGGACACTGACTCCAAACCAACGTGGTTTACCCAAAACAATTTTTTTTTCCTTAAGTTCCTGTAATGCTGAGATGGAACCCAGAATGTTGCCCATAGTAGGCAAGCATTCTACCACTGAATTACAATCCATTCCCAAATATCCATTAAAATGTCTCAGTGTGCCTTACTATGGTAAAATATGGGGCTTTTTTTTATAGGACCTATAGAAAATTGGGGAGCTCCCTAAGGCATTTGATAAGTTTTTTTGGTAGGGAGAATGGCACAGAAGTACTCCAATATCCCCAGCCCCCAGGCTCCTTATTAGGGGTAACTGGGCTTCTGCTTGGCCTTTCTCTGTGGACCCCATAGTCTGGAGTCCCCTCTACCTCAGTGGGGAACACAATCCTCCATGGTGCTTTCTCCTCTCTCTTCAATGAGGGAGGACCACAGAGTCTGCCTCAACTCCCCTCTCTCCAAAAGCTGGCCCCTTGCTCCAAAAGAGCATTGGCTCGCATGGCTGACTCTTGCCTTTTTGCTCAGAGGGACCTGGGCTTTGGGTCTGCGTGGCAGTCAAGTGCCTTCTCTGACTCCCAGTGTAGGTGATACTAGTTTCCTCCTCAGCCAGAGTTTGGGTCCAGCCACTAACCCCTTCTAAGTCTCCCTCCTCTGACTCTCCTGAGCAAGTCGGCTTCCTGGTTTCCCGGACAGTGTGAAGGAAGAATATCCCTCCCCTGAGCAGCAACTCTGTGATGAGGGAGGAAGAACAAGGGAACACGGGAATAAAATGGCGTTGAAAATTCAACTGGGGAGTTGAACCTCAACTGTTGCTTTTTACTTTCTTTGCATCACAAAACAAAGGCAATCTGTCCCCCTAAAGATCTGCTATGGCACTTTTATCATATACACTGTGTATAGGATGCATATATACGTATGATATATATATATATATATATATATATGAATATACACGAAGTTAGCCTTTATTAAATACAAATGTGTCAGACCCGTCAGACACTTCACATATAGTATTTCATATAACATAGCAACCCTGTAACATTGATATTAACCTTATTTTGTTAATAGAGAATCCAAGGCTTTACAAGGGTAATTAACTTGCTGAAAGCCACCGTCCAGTGGCTCAAGGATTCCAAAGCCCTTGCTCAGTTTACCTGCTGTGCTGTTTCTTCGGTTTAGGTGGGAAGAACAGAACCCAGGCATCCAGTGGCCCAGCCACTGCCTCCTGTCAGCTAAGGACCCAACTGACAGCCAGGCATGGTCACAGTGCCTTAAATTCTTTAAAAAAAAAAAAAAAAAAAAACACAGAACACAGGGGCTGGAGAGATGGCTCAGCAGTGAAGAGCACTGGCTGCTCTTCCAAAGGACCTGGTTTCAATTCCCAGCACCCACATGGCAGCTCACACCCATCTGTAACTCCAGTTCCAGAGGATCTGACACCCTCACATGGGCACACATGCAGCAAAACACGAATGCACACAAAAATAAAAATAAAAGAATGTCTCCAAAGCGAATTCCAGGAAAGGCGCAAAGCTACACAGAGAAACCCTGTCTCGGAAAAAACCAAAAAAAAAAATAAAAAATAAAAAATAAAAATAAAAGAATGCTATCCAGGCATGGTGGCACATGCCTTTAATCCCAGCACTCAGGAGGCAGAGGCAGGTGGATCTCTGTGAGTCTGAGGCCAGCCTGGTCTACATAGAATATTTCAGGATAGCCATAGCCAGTGCTATGTAGAGAGAGACCTTGTTCAAAAAAAAAAAAAAAAAAAAAACAACCAAAACCCTGATCGACAATTTCCCTCCACCAGAGAATAGATGGCACACTTGAAAGAGCTATATGACAAGGAAAAATGGGAATTTGGGACTAATTCAGAATTAAGGGGGCATCTTCTAGGAGCACAGGAAAATGGTGTCCAGAATTGGAATATTTAGGGGCATGAGGTCTATGGCTAGGGCCAATGCTATAACATCTGCACAATCCTAGTGAGCAGATAACATTGATTAGTTCTTAGGCCCCTAGCGGGGTGACATTAGTGGGGGATGAAAGGGTGGCAGAGTCTGTAGTTGAGGGAGTCATGTCCAAGATTGAGTCCATGGTTGAGGGAGTGGTATCCAAGATGGTGTCTGTGGTGGGGGGAGTAGTGTCCCCAGTTAGCGAGTTAGTGTCTGGAGACTGAGGACGGCAGTGCATCCAGTGTGTGATATTTCTGGGATAGCCCTTTGCCACTCGAAGCTGCTGGTTAAGACGCCAGTAGTCTTTGCCCTTGAAGAAGTAGACTTGGCCGTCTTGCCCGCTCATAGCTGCTGAGGGTTGGTCTGGCACTCCAGTAAACAATTCCTTGATTGGTTTGGGGTAGCGGCTGAAGTCAGTGCTGGCCAGCTCGTCCCATTGCCAGTATCCTGAGCCCTGATTTGGAGTGGGTGAGAAGAAGAGAATGAGATAGCTTAGGACCTCAGAGGCTGATCCAAACTGCAGAAGGTCCCCCTGTAAGGGTGAGACTTGCCCCTCAGTATAAGGCAGCCTGGCCCTCCTCAGAAGAGATTATCCCTGACTTTGCTATACCTTAAAAAGGAACACCTTTTTATTAACAGGCCAATAGAGCGCTGCATCCAGGTTGGGTTCTACTCTGTTGAGTTTCATGGGAAAGCCAGGAGACATCTTGAAACCCACGTACCGCCACACCTTGTTTCCTGAGAATGGTAAAGGAAGAACAAGTTGCCTCTGTCATCAGACGGGAGCTTTCGGTCCCTCTCTCACCCTCTCAGAAGCTTCTCGATGCCCCCTCCCGTTTTCAGCTTTTTAATGACCAGGCCCTTAAGCAAGACCTAAGTACCCCACTTACCCTTGAAGAAATGGATCCATCCTGTTCTAGGAGAGTAGACGGCAGCATCTAGGTTTCCAGGGAGCCCCTCCCAAAGAGCAGACACTCGGAACAAGGGGCCCGGACCTGAATCTGTTACAGTCCACACGTAGTCCCCCTTGAAAGCATAGGTCTTCCCACGGGGTCCTGAGAGCAGAAGCATGTTAACAAGTTTAAAAGATAATGAGTGACCCATGAGTGTCTCAGGTAGTTTCCGGACTGGCCACTGATGGGCCCTTCAAAAATTCACTCAACTTCAAAAAAGGCAGAGAAGGAAGACACAGTGCTGAGTCTCTCCCTTCTTCACAGCCCGCCAGTTAGTCAGCTGTTCCTCTTTGGAGAGCTAGTGCCCCATTCCAGGTAGCTTTAAAATCTTAAAACCAGGTACAAATAAAATCCTCTCTAATAGACATTGCAGCCAATTCCATCTGGCTATGTTTCCACTTTTTTGTTTGTTTGTTTGTTTGTTTGTTTGTTTGTTTGTTTGAGACAGGGTTTCTCTGTATAACAGTCCTGGCTGTCCTGGAACTCGCTCTGTAGACCAGGCTGGCCTTGAACTCACAGAAATTCACCTGCCTCTGCCTCCCAAGCACTGAGATTAAGGGCGTGGACCACTACTGCCCAGCCACGCAGCCCTCTTTTGTTTTGTTTTGTTTTGTTTTTCGAGACAGGGTTTCTCTGTGTAGCTTTGCGCCTTTCCTGGAACTCGCTTTGGAGACCAGGCTGGCCTCGAACTCACAGAGATCCGCCTGGCTCTGCCTCCCGAGTGCTGGGATTAAAGGCATGCGCCACCACCGCCGGGCTCACGCAGCCCTCTTTTAATTTGACTCTGAGCGTTCCCTCTCCATGCTACACATCTTCCCTGGTCACCAGCCTTTTCCTGGGGTCCAGCCCCCAATGCTCCTGCTTTGGTCCCACATCATCCCCATCTGTCCAGGCCCTGGAGTCAATAGACTGCCCTCATTGCCTGTAAACAGCCTATTCGGGAAGGGCCTCACCCAGCATTGTGGCATCCAGTTCACTGCTGCAGGGGTTTGGCATGGGACTGGGTTTCGTGGTCACTGGTGACACAGTGGAAATCTCTTCCTCCTCATCCTCTGTGTCTGGGCTCTTCTTGCCTGCAAAGTGAAGTAAGGCAACGCACTCAGCTTCTCTACCTGTCTGCTGTAAGTTCTGCTCAATGGCCCCACAGAGATGGAAAAGGGAATTCTAAGGAGTTTCCCTTTGTGGTCCGCAATAGACAGGAGACACAGTTTTGTTTTGAGAAGTACCAGAGGGAAGGAAGTTTCCTGAAATGTATATTCTGCATCTTCAAGAATGGGGTTGCCAGGCATGGTGGTGTACACCTTTGATCCCAGCACTAGGCATGTAGAGACAGGAGGGTCTCCATGAGTTTGAATACAGCCTGGACTACATAGCAAGTTCCAGGACAGCTGGAGCAGGATAATAAAGACCCTGTCTCAAAGCAACAGGCAACAATAACAACAAAAGAATTAGGTAGGGTGTGAGGGAAGAAAGTCCAGGAAGGGAGATTAGACATAAGAGTCAAACATAGAGACAGTTTTTGAAGATGAATAGCTTGAAGAACTGGGCAGAGGAAGAGGCGGGGGGGGGGGGGGGGAGCCATTTTACTCCATGAAAGCAACTATTGTCTCCTTGAGCCTAGAGAGATATTAGTCAGACTGACTCTCATGCTCACCATAGAGAGCCTGGATCCCTGCTACATCATCTGGGTGCAGCCTGAAGTAGGGCTGGTAGCCAGCGTAGACAGGAGCCATAAGTGCCTGAGTGTATCGGGAGTGCCCAAGTCCCAAGGCATGGCCCACTTCATGGGCTGCGATGATGCGCAGGTTCACTCCTTGGTAGGTCCCCTCAGTCCAGAATTCATCTTTATCGAAGTGTACACTGCCGAGCTCTGGGATATCAGCATGGGCCAGGACCTTTCCTGGGCAAAGGCAAAGGTAGACGGTAAGGTTAGAGTCGACAGAGCATCATTTGCTGACTATGTACTCAAGCTACGTTCAGATGTGATAACACACCTGTAATCACAGCACTTGGAAGGTGGACACAGGAGGATCAGAAGTTCAAGATCAGCCTCAGCTGCATAATGGGTTTTATGTCAGCCTGGGCTACACAAAATGCAAGATGCACCGCCATAGCTAGCCTAGGTGCTTCTTCCGGACTTCCTAGTCATCAGTCAGGGAAACCCAAAACAAAATCTTCACCTCCCCAGCCACTCCTCTGTGAGCGGGTCTCCTCTCAGGGTGAGGTTTGAGAGAGGAAATGAAAGCCAGGCATAAGATTGAAAGAGGGGAGCTGCTAAGGGCCTGGCTAGACAAGAAACGGCTTCTCTGGGAAACAGTAGAAGGTCAGAGTACCGGGTGTCTTTGGGCAGAACCGACAACCTGAACCTTAAGATCTCAGAGTCCAGCCGGGAGGTGGTAGCGGCGCACGCCTTTAATCCCAGCACTCGGGAGGCAGAGCCAGGCGGGTCTCTGTGAGTTCGAGGCCAGCCTGGTCTACAGAGCGAGATCCAGGAACGGCGCAAAGCTACACAGAGAAACCCTGTCTCGAAAAAAAAAACAAAACAAAAAACAAAAACAAAAAAAAAAAAGATCTCAGCGTCACTGGCTCAAGGAGACAGTGTATTGCTGAGTCTGTTGAAAGTCAAGAACTAGTGCCTACCAGGCCCGTCAAAGGTGTTGGAGCAGTATGGGCTTTGGCGGCCATGGAATGAGAGGCGGATATCAGCCCAACCAGCCTTCACCTCCCGGAAGGTCAGGGGGGCCACGCTGCTCCAGTACTTGAAGGCCTGATGCAGGGCTGCCCGAGCTCTGGAGGGTAAGAGGGTGGAGGGCAGGTTCAAGACGCGGTATGTCAAATGCTTCTTTCTCCAGCGGCCTGGTGAAGGGACCAGAAAGTAAGTTAGAAACACAACCAAGAGAGCTGTTCAGGGTGAGGGTGCCCGCTGCCCTCCATCGCAGGTAACTCAGCAAGTATTACCCACACATCGCAGGTTACTCAGCAAGTATTACCCACACATCGCAGGTTACTCAGCAAGTATTACCCACACATCGCAGGTAACTCAGCAAGTATTACCCACACATCGCAGGTAACTCAGCAAGTATTACCCACACTCAGGGCCAGGCAGCCTTCTCCGTCCCTTCCCAGGCTCAGTCCTCACCCAGAAGCAGGTATTTAAGGGTCTTCTGGTTGAAGGGATCCTCCAGACCACAACGGGGCTGCTTCATGCGGGCCCTTGTGTCATCATCCATCTGACCTGAAACTGGCAGCTGGGATGCTTCCTGGAAAGCTCTAGAAAGAGAGAGAGGCCGGTGCACAAGGGCAGGGCAGGTGGATCTGGAATGGCTGGAAATTGGGGATGGATCTTTGGCCTCCTCCTGCCCGAAATAGTGATAAAGAATGACACAAGGTCTTTAAAGCTGAAGAGGACACTCCAGTCTCTAGTGCTCATAACTGGGGCTTTGTCTTCTAGTCTGTAGAAATGGTGGCACTCCAACTTCATCTCTCCATTTTCAGGATCTTTTGAGGAAGACTGACCTGAAGTATAGCCTTCCTCTCCTTCCTCACATTCTAGCTTTCTAATCTAGCAGGTGAGCAACCCCGCTCACCCCCTGGCCACCCTCTGGAGAGTCTCCCTGCACAGCTGTTGTGCTGCCCTCTGAGGTCCTACCCACTTCAGCCCCGCTGGGCCCTCCTCCCGGCCTGTACTGGGGCAACCTCACCCACCCATGGCCCGTCATAGGGTCTTCTGTCGTAGGACCATAAAGAAAAAGACGGCAGCAGCAAAAATCAGCCAAATACAAAGGAACACAGAATAGAAATAAATAAATAATGAATGAAGCGTCCACAAAAGGGAACATCACACCAAGTCAATCTGTAGCTTTATGCATGCGGTGCCTCCTGTGGGCTGTAAATGTCAGTGTTTTAGCTGTGAAGGAGGAGCATCCAAAGGAGTCTCCAGGCCTTGGAGAATCCACAGGCCATGTTTCTCATTTTGTTTGTTTGTCTTTCCAGGCAAGGTCTCACTCACTCTATAGCCTAGGCTGGCCTCAAACTCACTTTGTAATCCAGGATGGCCTTAAATTCATGGCAATCCTCCTGCCTTAGCCTCCTGAGCACAGGAATTAAAGATATGAGCCACTGTGTCTAGCTGTTTGGGTTTGTTTTTATTTTTAAGATTTATTCTTATTTTATGTGTATCATCAGTGTTTCCTCTGCATGTATGTAAGTATACCACATGTGTGTACTGCCTACAGAGGTCAGGAAAGAGCATTGGATCCCCTTGAACTGGAGTCATAGATAGTTGTGAGCTGCCATGTGGGTGCTTGGAACCAAACCTGGGTCCTCTACAAGAACAGACAGTGATCGTAACCACTGAGTCATCTCTCCAGCTTCATTTGCTTTGTTTTTGAGGCAAGGGCTGGCTAGGTGTGCATGGTGGCTCATCCTGTGATCCCAGCACTTTCGAGGATGAGGCAGGCAGGAGTGAGGATGAACCTCACTCACTACATCGCAGGTTCAGGACCAGCCTGGGCTACACGAGACCCTATTTCAAAAAATCAAAACCGGGAGCTGGAGAAATGGCCCAACGGTTAAGGTGTTGCTTTTACAGAGGACCCGGGTTCAATTCCCAGCATCCACATGGTAGTTCACAACCATCCTTCACTCCAGTTGCAGGGATGCCCTCTTCTGACCAGCTTGGGCACTAAGCATGTACATGGTACACATACATATGTGCATAAAATAAAAATTAATAAACCAGCCGGGCGGTGGTGGCGCACGCCTTTAATCCCAGCACTCGGGAGACAGAGCCAGGCGGATCTCTGTGAGTTCGAGGCCAGCCTGGGCTACCAAGTGAGTTCCAGGAGAGGCGCAAAGCTACACAGAAAAACCCTGTCTCGAAAAACCAAAAAAAAAAAATAAATAAATAAACCAAAAAAATTACATCAAAATGGGCCAGTGAGATGGCTCAGTGGGTTAAAGGACTTGCTGCCAAGCCTGAGTACGTAAATTCAATCCCCAGGCCCCACATGGTGGAAGGAGAGAACTGGATCTCCAAATATGTACCATGGGATGTGTGCACACACCCACACAAATAAATAAATGTAATAAGAAACTGTAAAACCACTCGGGAGGCAGAGGCAGGCAAATCTCTGTGAGTTCAAGGCCAGCCTGGTCTACAAAGCGAGTTCCAGGAAAGGTGCAAAGCTACACAGAGAAACCCTGTCTCAAAAAACCAAAAAAAAAAAAAAAAGAAAGAAAGAAAGAAAGAAAGAAACTGTAAAACAAGCAGCCCTAATTAAACTCAGTGGGTCATAGAGAAAATAGAAGAGGATCTTGTTTGGGGAAGAGACTCAGGAGGAATGGAAGGGAGATGATAGAGCAATGGGGTGAATGACACACGTGTGCACACACACACACACACACATACACGGACACACACACAGGCGCACACACGCACACATACATACGTGTGTGTGTGTGTGTGTGTGTGTGTGTGTGTGTGTATGAAATCATCAAAAATAATTTAAAGGTGTAATGACAGGGACTCCAGCTCAGCATGGTGGTTCACACCTCTAACTATAGCATAGTAGAGGCTGAGGCAGCAGGATTGCAAGGAGTTCCAAGCCAGTCTAAGCTACAGTGTGAGACTGGGATCAAAAAGTAATAATAAAAATTAAAAAAAAAAAGATAAATACTCAACGTGTGGTCCAAGCTAGCCTCCAGCTCTTTTGCTAAAATTTTTGTTCTTAACTGAACGGTGGTGGCGCATGTCTTTAATCCCAGCACTCAGGAGGTAGGAGGCAGAGGCCAGTGAATCTCTATGAGTTCTAGGCCAGCTTGGTCTACAGAGCAAATTCCAGGACAGTTGGGGCTACCCAGAGGGACCCTGTCTCTGGGGGGAAAAAAAAGGATTTTCATTCTTGTGTGTGTTTCTATGAGTAAATGTTGTTAACATACGTTTGGGTGCCTAAGGAAGCCTAAAGAGGGCATCAGATCATTCGGAGCTGGAGTCACAGGAGGCCGTGAGCTTCCTGGTGTTGGTGCTGGTCCTCTGTAAGAGCATCAAGTACTCTTAACTGCTGAGCCATCCTTCCAGGATTTCATCGTTTCCACTTCTCCCTTTTTAAGGCAGTGTCTCACTGTATAGCTTTAGCTGTCCTGGAACTCTCTGTGTAGCCCAGGCTGGCCTCACACTCACAGAGATCTGCCTGCCTCTGCCTCCCGAGTGCCGGGAATCTGGAACTAAAGGCGTGGACCATCACACCCGACTCTTCTTTGCCTCCCCAGGACTGAGATCACAGCTGTGTGCCACCACACCTGATCTGTGGGCTCCTCCTCCTGATTCTCCATCTCACCTAGACAGATCCCTGCTGTGGATTAGGGTCAGGCAGAGGTGAGCCTGGGAGAGGGGAGGACTTGACACCTCCGATAGGAAAGCATGTACCTTGTGACCTTAGAGTCTCACCTTAGGGCCTCTGTGATATCTTCCAGCCTGAAGTCATCAGCTCCTTCCAGAGGCTTCTGTAGATACCCATACTGCAACAGGTAATCCTACAATGCCATGCAGGTTGAAAGAGGTTTAGTCTCGGGGTACAGCTTCCGAGTGACGGAACAGAAGCAGAGCATGGTGGCGCACACCTTTAATCCCAGCACTCGGGAAATGGAAGCAGGCAGGTCTCTGTGAGTTCAAGGACAGCCTGGTCTACATAGTGAGTTCCAGACCAGGCAGGGCTACACAGGGGGACCCTGTCTTAAACAAACAATCCAAATGACCTAACAGACCCATGAGGAGAGAAGGGGACAGATACGAAAGGACTGATGCGTGAGTGAGGGGGCCTCCGATGGAACAAGGAGAAGAGCAGGAGGTGGGCAACATAGATCAGGGTGCCGAGGAAATAGGGAGAGGCAGGTAGGTTGTAGGGCAAGAGGGAAACCTAGAGAAGACTATAGCGTGCTAATCCCTGTCAATCAGGGGACTCACCAAGACTGCCTCCTTCTCTGTAGGCCCCAGAGCCCGGCCTGAGACTGTCATGGGAAGTAAGAAGGCCAGCCACAACTGTTGCCAGTCCATGGTCCCAGCGGACAAGAGCTCCAGCGGTTGCCTGAGCCCTCTGACCTGAGACTTCTGGGAGCCTGGAGGAGCAGCCCTAGGCCGGGGACTCTTACCTCCAAGGTCTTCGCTGTCAGCCTCTGGTCCTCTTTATAAACCATCTGTGGGGAGCAGTGGGAGGTGACTCAGCCCAGAGAGATGTTGCAACTCATCATTAACTCCTGCCCTACCAAAGAAGAGCGGAAGCCAAAAAAGCCCCTAATACTCCTTCCCCCAGAGCCCTCTGCCGGAGACCAGATGACTTTCTGTACTGCTCTGGGGTCTGCCTCCTGGAGGGGTGAAAGCCAGAATCTCTAGACAGATTAGGACAGGACCAGGGCTGCCCCCTAGAGTTGGACATTCCCGCTCCTGGGGGATCTGGGGCCAGCAGAGCCCTCAGCTTCACATGTCCATTTGCTCCTGACAAGGGAAAATCAATCAGAGCGAAGAGGTAGGAGGCAGTGTGAGTTCCAAGTGAAAGGGTCAAAGGTGAGACCTGCCTCTCTGGATTTGTTGTTGTTATTTGAGACAGGAAGCATCTCTCTACATATTCCTGGCTGGCCTGGAACTCCCTATGTAGACCAGGCTGGCCTGAAACTCCCTATGTAGACCAGGCTGGCCTGGAACTTCCTATGTAGACCAGGCTGGCCTGGAACTCCCTATGTAGACCAGGCTGGCCTGGAACTCCCTATGTAGACCAGGCTGGCCTGGAACTCACAGAGCCACCACATCCAACTTTGAGGTCTGTTTCTTTGCAACTAAGATCAAGTGGGGAGTTTATTTTAAGCCGGAATCTAGCTTCGCGGCCCAGGCTGACCTTGAGCTCTACATCAAGGCTTCTTAAACATTTGCCATTTGTGACTCTTTTTGCTAAAGAAAAAAAATTTTACCAGATATATTGTTTATAAAATAAGTATTACAGGGACTGGAGACCTGGCTCAGCAGTTGAGAGAACTTGCTGCTCTTGTAGACAGGCCCCGAGTTCTGCTCCTGCCACAGATGCCTCCTCCACAATACCGCACACAAACGGCATAACACAAGCATACGAATTTTATGTGTTTTGTTGTTGCTGCTGCTGTTGTTTGGTTTGGTTTGGTTTGGTTTCGAGACAGGGTTTCTCTGTGTAGCCCTGGATATCCTAGAACTATAATATTAGCACTTATGAGTTGAAGGAAGATCAAAAGTTCAAAGTCATCCTTAACTATATAGCAAGTTCTAGGCCAGCTTTTAGCTATGAGATCCTGCCTCAAAATTTTAAATACATAATTAAAGCAATTTTTTTTTTTTTTTTTGGTTTTTCGAGACAGGGTTTCTCTGTGCAGCTTTGCGCCTTTCCTGGATCTCACGCTGTAGACCAGGCTGGCCTCGAACTCACAGAGATCCGCCTGCCTCTGCCTCCCGAGTGCTGGGATTAAAGGCGTGCGCCACCACCACCTGGCTGTTTTATTACTGTGAAGGAAGAATTATTCCAGTCTTGGGGGGACAGGGGCACATGGTGGCACATGCCTTTAATCCCAATACTAAGAAAGCTAAAGCAGGAAGATCTGTATGAGTTTGAGGCCTCTTGGTCTACCTAGCAAGTTTGAGGCCAGCCAGGGCTTTGAAGAGAGACCCTGTCTAAAAAAAAAAAAAGGTGAAGGAGGAAAGAAAGAAAGGGAGGGAGGAAGAGAAGGAGGAATGAAGGAAGGAAGGGAGGGAGGCAGGGAGGGAGGGAGGGAGGGAGGGAGGCAGGGAGGGAGGGAGAAAGGAAGGAAGGAAAAGGGGAGGGGACTGCAGAGATGACTCAGTGGTTAAGAGCATTTATTATTCTTTCAGAGGACCCAGGTTCAATTCCCAGCACCACATGGTGACTTACAACTGTGGTTGGTATATTGTGCACCCCAATAAACTTCTCTGGGGGTCAGAGAACAGAACAGCTACTATATTAAACATAGGTTTAGGCAGTGGTAGCACACACCTTTAATCCTAGCATTCCGGAGGCAAAGATCCGTCTGGATCTCTATGAGTTCAAAGCCACACTGGATGTTTCTGGATCTCTATGAGTTCAAAGCCACACTGGATGTTTCTGTATCTCTGTGAATTCAAAGCCAGGCATGGTAACACACATTTTTAATCCCAGGAAGTGATGGCAGGAAGCAGAAAGGTATATAAGGCGTGAGGAGCAGGAACTAGAGCCTTTTTTAAGCTTTTAGCTTTTAGCAGCAGTTCAGCTGAGATTCATTTGGATGAGGATTCAGAGACTTTCAGGCTGAGTAAACAAGATCAGCTGAGGAACTGGCAAGGTGAGGTGGCTGTGGTTTGTTCTGCTTCTCTGATCTTTCAGCGTTCACCTCAATACCTGGCTCCGAGTTTGTTTTTATGAATAAGACCCTTTAAGATTCGTGTTACATCATAACCATCTATAATTCCAGCTCCAGGGGATTCAACTCCCTCTTCTGGTCCCTGAACACACCACACCAGGCACCCAAGTGCACAGACACACATGCAGGCAAAACATTCACACACATAAAATTAAAATATAAATGTGGAATATTCCTTTACACTGTGTGAATATATGTTGCTGTGATTGGTTTAATAAAGAAGCTGATTGGCCAATAGCTCGGCTGGATTTTCAGGGCGGAGAGAATTCTGGGAAGAAGGGTGGAGTCAGAGGAGCCGCCAACGCCAAGGAGACAGGGGGAGGAAACAGATGAAAGAGAGGTAACTCCACATGGCAGAATGTAGATCAATAGAAATGGGTTAATTAAGTTGTAAGAGCTAGTTAATAATAAGCTTGAGCTATCGACCCAGCATTTATAATTAATAATAAGGCTCTATGTGGTTATTTGGGAGTGACTGACCAGACACAGAGAAACTCCATCTACATATAGATGTTTTAATTTTAAAAGGGAGAGAGGCAGGGCTTGAAGTGCTGCTTAGCCTGGCCCTGAAGGTCAGGGCTCAAATGATCCGCTGTGGCCTCCAAAGTACTGAGACTACCTGAACTGCCACCCTAGCTTTTTGTTTTGTTTATCTAGATATTAATTTTTTTTAGTTAAAATTACATTTAGTTACGTGTGTGTATGTGTGTGGGAAAGCAGGTGGAGGTCAAGACAACTTTCAGGGGTCCATTCTCTCCTTCCACTGTGGTTTCCAGGAATGTAACTCAGGTTTGTGTTATAAGAGGAGATGGAGTGCCCGAGGGAAGCTTGAGCATGGCCATGGAGAACCTAACTGGCCTGTTACCTGGTTCTCTAACACGTGCTCTTCCGCACACCACACAAACTCTTGAGTTTTGTTCCAGCCCTTTGGTTTGTTTTCTTTGAGACAAGGTCTCACTATGTAGCCCGGGGTTGGTCTGGAACTCTGGGATTACAGGGATGCACCACCAGCATCCCTGGCTAACACTGCATCCATTGTCTCCCCATCAAAGTCAAACCCCTGCATCCTGGGTGACATGTGGGGACACTCACCACTGTAACGACGAGGAAGAACAAGCACATTCTTGATGCACAGTGAGGAAGGTACGGGGATGGGGGATAGGTCAAATTCTTGTTTGCGGTAGGTCCTCATTTCTGACCCATTCCCTCTCTCTGGGACCTCCCACTCCAGGATAGAGGTAGGGGAATACTCCTGACTAATTGCCCTCAGTGATGTTGGACCCATGTGACCCAGCACCCAGATGGGTAAGATTTGGGTGACTAAGTCCCAATTGTGACAGAAAGAATACAGAGAACCTCAGAAGGTATCATCAGGCTCAGTACACCCAGGAGATGATGGCATTTGGGAACAGCCACAACTCAGCCCCCTGCAAGGCTCCTCCTCATCTCTCCTCTGTCTTTCTAGTCCTCACCGAGTTACTCACTGTGGCTATGGCAGGCCTAAGGGTACAACCACATTCCAGAAACCAAAGCGTCAGGTGAGGGCTGAGCAGGTGGTGGAAGCTGCCGAACGGTTTGCCTCCTTTAAGTCTTAGCGCGTTAAGTTGTCACCTCTTTACCGGAAAGGAGTGCATCTCTAGTGAGCCGCTTCAGGCAACACAGCTGGGAAACACCGGTGTCACAGACTCCAACGACATCTGCACATCGCTCTTCAGTTTCCCGGAAAGTTAACGTAAACAAATAAAACCCCTGGAACCAGGAGCTGTAGTCAGGGTCTGTGTTCAAGCGCAGGATGACTAATTCCGCTACCACTCTGTGTCATGACCACCCCTGCCTACAGCCCCCACCTCTGAGCCAGGCTGACCCTGCTTTTTTTTCCCCCCTCTGAATGTGTCATTTCTCACTGGGGGAGTTTTGGGAATGTGTGCAAAGGGTTAGGACTTGTGGCAAGCCTGTTCTAAAAAGAGAAGTTGGCTTTGAGAGAAGGAACTCCGTTGACTTGTTGCTCACTCTCTTCCTGTAAACTGGTGTCTCTCTATCCACAGACTATGGCAGAAGACATTTATATAGATGGCTTTTTTTGTTTTGTTTTGTTTTTAGTATAGATATGCTTTTTAACTAAACAGTATCAGAGAGCAATAGGGAGACTTCTGGGAGTATTTTTCTAGTGACCAAAGGTCATGGGCTACGGGCAAGAGACAAAAGCATGTAGTGGTCTCTAGGCCCATGAGAAGCAAGTTTCTTAGCCCCTTCTGAGGGCACTTACCCTGTGGAGGTTGCCAGATGTTGGGCATCTGAGTAGATTAAGGGCAAGTCCAGATAGGCTACGGATACAGCTCAGTGGTAGCACATTTGCTTGACGTGAATGGGGCCCAGAGTTTGCCCCAGCAGTGCAGACTAAAAGGCAAATCTCATTCTGAACCTGAGAATTGTAGGGGTGAAAAAAAAGTGCATGTGGGACTGGCGAGATGGCTTAGAAGGAAAGGCCCCTGCCCCTGAGCCTGACAACCAGAGTTGGGTTCCCAGGGCCCCCATGGTGAGCGGAGAAGACCTATTGGTGGAAGTGTCTTCTGACCTACATTGCAGGTTGCTACACATGGTACCTACAAATACAATACATCAACAAATAGAGGATGGGTAGGTAGATAGATAGACAGACAGACAGATAGATGATAGGGAGGTAGATACATACACACACACACACACACACACACACACACACATA